GAGAGAGAGAGAGAGAGAGAGAGAGAGAGAGAGAGAGAGAGAGAGAGAGAGAGAGAGAGAGAGAGCCGCTATCCCCAAGGTCAAAACACAACACATCTGTGATTACGGGCCTGCACGGGCTTGTCCCATTCACCAGGGCAAGAACGGAGCAGGCATTGACCTTCAGGGCAAAAAAAAGGTTATATTCGAATACAATAATTTTCTTTTCGTGGACGAATCGATGCGCCGGGTTGTGTGGTAGTGCGGACGACGCTATGCTTTGCCAAACCAGTGTGTCCGATAGTCAAAGATTCAACGAGCTGTCGTGAGGTGTTGAGGTGTTGAAGGCGGAGTTTGTCAAAGATAGCTTCAAAATCCTCCATCGCTTTCTACTTCACCTCGTTGTTGGAGTCGTCATCAGCTACTGGGCGCTCGTGAGGGTCTTCTTCTTGACGATCCGCGAATAGGGATAAATTTTGAAAGGGGCAACGGATTGGTTTTGGTGATGATGTCTTCTCTCGTCTTTGCTTCAACAGGGTGGTAAGTGGATATGGATGGAGGCTTGAACCCCCTGTGGCGCCTTGCTAACAGGTTTGGTGAGGTGGAGCTATACCGTTTTTTTTTATTTCCTTTTTGGAAACAAAAGATGGTCGTCGAGGTTTTCGGTGCTAGTGTTGCTCAGAGCCTAGGTGCTAGCAATGGGAGGTGGTTTTCCTTCCCCGAAGATGCTGGGGTAGGGTTTGAGGGGGCTGTGGTAAGTTGGGGGTTGTTGAAGAAAAAGGGAGAGTGATTATTTGTTGGATTAGTTTGGAGGTCATACTTAGAGTCATGAGGAATAATCGAATGCGGTCGTCTGTGTTGATGATAATACTGATTACTTTCTCATGATTAGTTAACCTAGTTTAAAATCATAATCGAGAGTCTTATGTACTACTGCCAATCGTTGGTGAATTTCTACAGATAGGATTTTCTTCTTTTCACGATCTTAAATATAATTCTGAAATATTTCCTTAGTATTATAGGTTCAAATATAAATCTGAAATAATTATTGTCTCTAGCTATCTGTCGTAAGTTTCATAAGTACTCAACGATAGTTCTTGTCGGATAAATCAACTGCAGTTTTCATAGTACTGGTCGAAAGTATTGTTTAGGATAGTTGATGGTATATCCCAATGATAATTTGCATGTAAGTTAAATTCCTAAGAAATTCCTACAAATTCGTTGCTTGTCTCCAAACTTTAGGAAATTAAGGAAACTCTAGGAAATTATAAAGTACATTTTTGTTTTTGTTATCATCCAGTTTACTATTTCTTTTTATTTGGTTTGCCTATCGAGGAGGTTGTACAATTAATTGTTATCTGGCAATTCATCTGTGATACTGCGAAGGGCGGTTGAAAATTCGGTGGCCCTCGAAGACCGATGCTGAAGCAACGCTGGCCGGAGCCGGAGCCAAGTGGCGCAACTCTGTAACCTAGCTTAGTGGGGGCGTGAGTTCTGGTAGAGAGCTCTGGGGGGCTGTTTGCGGGGGCAGTCTCAGTGGTCATCGGGGGTCGTAACTGGAGCAATGTTGACCGGTGCTGGAGCAATGTCGTGCAACTCTATAACCTAACCTGATGGGAGCATGAGGCCTGAAAGAGCTTCGGTTCGTGCTGAAAACAACCATGCTGATGGTAATCGTAGGTGAATTGAATAGGTTTCACCTATTTGATTCATGGTTGGGAGGCTTTTTGACATACATATTCTAGTGACTTGGTAGAGTCTGAATAGTGGAAAAAGTTCGGTTGTTCTTATGAATGTCTTAGGGCTCTAGGGACTCTTAGCAACCCATCTTTGGCGGTTTCGATACTGTTATACTCAGTGATTTGCGGTTGTTCGATGCCAAAACGACGCTGACTGGTGCTGGGGTGTTGCCCTGTAACCTGCTGATGACGGAGCGTGAGGCCTGGTAGAGAGATTTGAGGATGCTTTGGGGTGGACATCCCAAGGGACATCCAAGGGTTGCTGCTCGGACGACGTTGGTCGGAGCTGCGGCGAGTTG